GACTTCTGCCTTTTACCTTCAACCTGCGATTGGACCTGATGATTGTATTGATACGAGTACGGTCATTACTTAGACCACTACACCCGCTTCAGACTCTGGATGACAGGTTGCGCCATCGCACTCCGAACCTGTGCAGCACGTCCAGTCAGCCCCGTGCAGCGTTAACTCGTTGTCGAAACGCACGCTATTAGCAGAAGAACATCGTCGAAAAAGACAAGGGAGACCGCAATGGCCATTTCTGGCATAAGAGCCGTCATTAACTAGCCATACCCAACCACGGCTGTTGCAACATTTTGAAGATTGAACCCGCGAGCCGTTGCTTAGAATTCGAACACTCTAAGCAGGTTTGCTGCCATGGCGGTTTCGATCGGAGATATTAAAACGAAGCAGATTGGCGCTCACCGACAGGTTACGGGACTCACTCGTTTCGTAGTGCCTTGAGGTTCACTCTTGAGCCCCGCTAACCGCCGCACAGCGGCTATGCTTATAGGCGGAAGAACATTACTGACAAAGCCTAGGGAGACTGGCATGGAGACTGGCAATTACAGCTTGTCCTGTCTGTATTCTCCGCTAATTATTGATGTCTACAGTGTTAAATATTTGCTTGGTATCGTAGTTGTTTGTCTGAGCGGGGTTATTGGGTGAAGTTAGACAAATCAAAGAACATCGAATTATGGATAGGTACCAAAACTGCCGATTCCAAACGCTTTTCTTACAGTTCACTCCTGATTAGCTCCCTTTGGACTCCGGATGACAGATTGCGCCGGCGTACTCTGCACCTCTGCAGAATGTCCAGTCAGCTCCGTGTATTGTCACACTGATTTATAACTCCAGGCAGTTCACATGAATTAACCTCTTGCCGAAATACAGGTTATTAGCAGAAGAACATTGTCGAAAAAGACTAGAAGAGCGCAATGTCCATCTCTGACTTTAAAGCCGTCATCAGCTAGCCATACCCAAACACGGCTAGTGCAACCCCTGAGGATTGCACCCCGCGGCCCATTGTTTAGAATTCTAACACTCTAACTATTGAGTCATGGGTTTGATGCCCTGGCGGTTTCGATCGGGGGTTTTAACACGAGGCAGATTGTTGCGGGACTTGATGCTTCGTTGCTCACTCTTGAGCCCCGCCAGCCGTCGCACAACAGCTAATATTATAGGCGGAAGAACATTACTGACAAAGACTAGAGAGAATGGCAGGGAGATTTATGTCATGTTAGCGTTAATCAGCCAGCCAGCCATACCCAACTCCAGATGTTACAGGCTATCCAAGCAGCCCCGCTTCTTCAAATCTTGACTGCGGACAGCTACAGGCCCAAATAAATTCGTGATAGGACGTGACAATTGTTTCTGCTCTTCAACATTTGGTCCGAATAAGTGATTAACTCGATTAACAGATTTTAAAAAACTCACAGGATCCAAGTAGCATTTTTTTCCAAGTCCAGTTAAACAGTTGATGGAAAAGAAGGTTAATTTAAAACCATCGCGTAATTGTGCATGAATTAACCTGGACTATGTTTCATACCCTTCAATTTGGTAGTCCCATCTAGTTTAGCCTTTCAATTTGATATCACTTCAAAAAAGTTACATCTATGTCTCATGAATATTGGCGCCTGCATCGAAAGAAATAAAGCTACATAAAACTTCCGGTGGGCATTAGTACTCCAATTAAATTGGCAGATGGACGAAAGTAAGAGAGGGCATTACTCTATAACCCATACTGCCTCTTCTTACCCTTTCCCTCTGCATTCCCACACCTTGGTTGTCTGTTAAGACAAAAGCTAGTCGACTCCTCTAATCAATTAAGGTAAGGCTTTCTTTTGAGACTGCTTGAAGGCAAAAGTTCCCCGCCCAATTTTCTTACGGAAATCGTGGTTAAAGGTTAGAGGCTTGATTAAGGCGTAGATAATGCGAGTTTAATGCATGATAAGTATCGCTTGCTGTGAAAAACATGCGGAAAGAATAAAATCGACCAACATAAACTGCTATTAGTCAGCAACGGGATGCCTATAGACCAATAGCAATACCAACAGAAAAACCCTTATGGGTTAACGTAATCAAGGAAGTACTTGGATAGGCGGAAATTCTACCTACTGAAAATTTGGAAGTAGTCTTTTTTATTCATAATCCCAGACAAAAGTGCCCTTTCAATTCCATGTTTTACTTGACTCTTTTCGCATTTAAATGTACTGGCCTGACAATAATTATTCCACAAGCAAATGTATGCTCGACAACTAGCCTTCTCAAAATACAGACCTGTTAGTTTCTTTGTCGTAGGTCCACATGGTCTCATTGGCCTCAACCGAAGCAAACAAACGCGCGTTGCAAAGGGAAATGGGCGACTTTTCGGGGTCTTCCGTGAGCATTTCAATGCACAGACGCTGCATGGCAAATCCGGTGTGGCCTTCAGGTGCACAGGATACGCACGAGATTTTAAAGGCCTCCTTCGTCACCTCCGGCGGTTTTTGGCTACCCAGGTGGATCAGAATGTTCACCAGACGACTGTCCTCTTCGGAAGCATCGGGTGGGCACTGAGACCAAGTAAAACGAAGGGAAGAGGTGATGGAATCGGCTTCTGCAGATGGTTGCGGAGTAGGCTGGGAAGGCTCTGTGACAAGAAAAAAGGTAAAATAATGCAATTTGAAAAGTAAATAATTCTATTAAGTACTAGCTTAGGGGTGCTGAATAATGGTACTAAAATACATCATGGGAATAACTGTTTTGCACTCTTTTTGGAAGCTAGTGTCAGACAACGCGATACCCTAAACTGAAGAATAGATCGAAGCGGAGATTTTTACGCAAGAAAAGTTGGTATGAGTACCTCGTGGGGCAGCTGGGGGGATGCGCGAAGCGCACCCCTCGGTTTTACGGGCTCCTGATTTCAGGGAAGAGGACGGGTGGGGTATGTCAGGGAACAACTAAGTTCGCAATAATCCTGTAAAATAGAAAATTTACGAGGGAAAGTTGGGGCGCGTACTCAAACCTCGCTAACCCCTCCCCCCCCCACCTGGCCAACGGCGAGCGCGTGTATGTAGCGGTAGTGTGCCCTGACCTCGGGCAACGTCATTGAGGTACATTTGCTAGTAGTACCGCTAACCCCAACTAGAGTAAAGGCTAACGAGTGCAGAAGTTAGAAGATCGTATAATTAACCTTACTTAAGATGTGTAAGTAAGCGATTATTCGAGTGGTTAATTTGAAAAGCCATTTTTGCTTAATATACTGACTTAAGCGGTTACTGCATGCGGTGGCCTTCCGAGGACCCCTCGCAGTTCAATGCCATCATCCAACCCCTACTGGGTCGACGGACGGCGTGCAGAAAATAGGAGGATTGTGGGTAATTCAACACACTTGACATTTGTAAGTAGGTGGTTATAATACATAAGTACCCTTTTGCGGCCACAGTAGGTACTCTCACCGAAAAGTTTAAAATATGCCCCTTCCAGAACCGGAAAATCCAGTATTAAGTTGATGAAAATCAAGTGAAGCCAAGTTTAGGGAATTGCATTGTTTCTTCAAAGTGTTTTTTGTGCATAGTTGAGAAATATGGCCCTTATGGCTGTCTTCACAAGGATTAATATTCAAAAATTTTAGTTTTTGGTAAATGCTCTTAAAAAACACCTTAAAGGTTTTGATAAAAACATCTAACAGAATCTACATTTATGTAAGAAAACTCGAAACCACCGAACATCGTGCAAAATCTTCCGGAATTTAAAGGACAATCTGAAACACATTGTAATTCGATAACTCAAATACATAAATAAATTTGACGGAAGAAAAATTCTTTTGATATAAAATGCTATACTTATGATTTCACCTGATGAGTACGTTTTCGGAACTGGAATATGCTTTAAAAACTTAGGTTTTTCTAAACAAACAATTTGTACTTTTATATTTCTTTTAATTAACGAATTCGCTCAAGGTTGATCATTGTTATTTTGAACTTTTCGCACACGCCTTACTGCCGGTTTGCGAGTGATGATCAATTTTTCACAAATTCGGCATTCTGCATGAATTACAGTCCGCACTGTATGCCATGGCGGCACCGGAGCCAATCTTAGATCCTGTCGACTTGGCTTGGACTTGCCAATGGTGTGGGAGGGGAGACAGGTCTTATGACCCCCCCCCTATTCGCTATCTAGTTTCAACACAATAAACAACGAAGCGTTCCTCTGAAAACGTTATGAGGCAACTAACTAAGGGGGGGGGGTATAAAGTTTATAGGCAGACAGTATTGCCCGCAAAGACAAGAGGAACTGGAATGACCATTTCTGCCTTATTGGCCGTCGTCAGCCAGTTATACGCAGACCCAAGTGGTGTCCCACCGGAGCCTCGAATTCGCGACCGTTTTGATCAGAGCCATTCCGGCAACACTATCTGCATCCTAACAGCTGTTACGGCTGTTAGGGGCTCCATGGAGGCCCAAGACAGAGCGGGACAAATGATTTCCGTTAGTGGTCAGGTGAACGTTCAGCAATGAACATAGTTATACTTATCACTGACAATTCGGCTTTAATGGCCCCTTGTTAATGCGATTTCTATGACTATCTCACTTATATGAGATAAGAGACCTTCCCTCTTCTTTCGACAGCTGATTCAGCCGGCGAGTCCGATATGGCAGGCGTAACTGCACGGTCATTGGTAACAGAGGATGCAAGTGTCTGTAAAGCGGTGCTCTAAAAACTGAGCAAAATACCGGTTCCAATTCAACCAAAAAACTCAAAGGTAATCAAGAGAACGGAAAAATTGACTCAGTTGAAAGAGGGAGAGCCCCCGGCCACTTATCAGGATATAAAGAGGCAAGTGTTACAGTTTTGAAGTAAAATAAAAACAAGGTATGATGAAAATGCGCACCCGAGGGCTTGATTTCAGGATTAGCAGAGTCAAGGACCGCAGAAAAGGGGTCGCTGGTGCAGACGGTAAGTGAGGAAGCCGTAGGTTCGAAAACCGCGTAGTCAGGAAAAGAGGGGCTTGAGAGTCTTCGATGGCGTACAAGGCCCCAACTATCGGCAGTAGCTGAAAGACGAAATCAATGGAA